GGACTCCAATCGCGGGCCGACTCACACCAGGTGTGCATGCCCCTCTGCTCCCCGCGCCCAGCTCCCAAACGGTATGGAACGCCCCCCCCCCTCCTTCTCTCTGCTTGTTTTCCCTCCTGCTCCGTGTTTTTTCAGATATTTCTTCTGGCAGGTGTCGTGAGGTGGTGCGGTATGGAAGCCGTGCGGCACGCAGCGTGACCTGGCGGCCCGAGCGATACAACCTCCAGCAGGGCGCGAGAAGCGATGGGCTCATCACCTGCTCGTATCGACACTTTAATTAAACTATCGACACTGAAAAAAAAGGCTCCCTTTTGGAACAATTTAGAAAAGTTGGTCGAGTTTGGAAAACCGTCAAAACGTTTTTTTTTTGTTTTGTTGTTTTTTTTGTTGTTTTTTTTATAAATGGGACCTTCCGCCGAATTCGGTTATCCATAAAGAATCCATTCCGCCTTCGGAATCGAAAGTACATAAACTTGGTTCACAACGGTATTTTTAAAATGAAATTTGTTTTGCAAACATCCGGCGAGCGGCGGTCACGGCGGCGGCGCGAGACCAACCGGGTGGCCAGGACCGGGGCCAGACCTGACCCGAACCTAATTGCCATTCAGCCAGCAGCGGAGCTCGCGCACCGGAGACAAATGACGCCAATCTGCTCCCGGGGCCGGGCGGGGCAGGGCGGGCTGTCGAGGATGCGGCTTCAACCCCCCACACCCCTGGTGATTGATGATCGATGCCGTACCCCCTCACCCCCCATCCCCTCACCCCTACCCTCCCCCTCCCGCCAGTGTCTAATCCTCCAAGAACAACGACACTCACGCCCCAGAGTGGACGGAGCCGGGCCCAGGTCAAGTCAGCCGGGCCGCTCTACTATAGAGGGGGTTCATTGACACACCCTTCGACCCCCCACCCCACCCCTCTTCCCCATCTTTTCCGCAGTTTCCACGTCAGCACAATCCTCCCCAGCCGCCTCCCCTCCCCCCTCCCCTCCCCCTCCCCTCGACATCGCTACAAACAGCTCCCCTGCGGACACCGGGCAACAACACGACGAATAAATATCAAAAAACAAACACAAAAAAGGGACGGGGTAAAAGAGGGGGGGTGAGAAAGAACAAATACAAAAATACCCATTACTGTCGTTGTTTGGCATCTGAACGATTCGCGAAGTGGGAAAGGGAATAACCGCGTCCATTCCATTCGCATCCATCCACCCCCGCGGCGGCCAACAACACACCTTGCGCCCCTTTACAGCCGGGGGCTGGGGGAGGGAGAAGCGCCGCCACGCCACGCCGCGCACCTTCTCCTTTTACGAGCGGCTCGGCCCCAACCGCACGGACAAGTGCGGTGCAGTTGTCGGCAAAGGCGGCGAGGCAAAGAAGGGGCTTCTTCTTCTCCCCTCTCCCCGCCGCTCCATCCCTCTGCCCGGCTGTGCTCTCGTGGGGGCCGTTGTGTGGGAAGGGGTGGAGGTGTGAGAGGGGCGGGGCTGGGGAGGGAAAGAAACTTTATACAGGTTTTCACGAGCCTCCTCCCCGGGTGGTGGTGGTGGCAGGGGCGGTACTGCACCGGGGGACTCCCGCGGGGGAGCATCATCGCCTTCCCCCGACACTTGTTTCAGGTGCAGGTGTTGAAAGGCGAGCCCGGGGGGAAGGCAGCGCAGGGATGAAGAGCGCCCCCTGGACTGTGTTAACTCGGGCCGCGCCGCGGTGAGGGGGCGACAGAGACAGAGAGGAGATCGCGGGCAGCAGGACAGGACTCCGCGGTGCGTGAGAGCGAGAGAGGACCGCGACAAAAAAATAATGACCCTCTATAAGTTCAGGACCACCAATCGAGCTCAAAAAGCAATGCCATGATATTTGAACCCTATGCATACTGAAAGGAGGACCATGGTATTTCTTATTTCTTACACTCCCCTCGTGGTTTACGCGGGACCCTTTTTGGCGAACGTGCCACCACCCCCGCGCTGCCCACCGCTCGGGGAGGAGGGGAGGGGGTGAGGGGGCTTGTTTACTGCCGCCTCTCGGCCTGAGCCACACCTAGGGCGCTGTATAGACGTGACGCTAACCCCGAGCCGCCACACCTGAGCCAGCCAAATCGGGTCGAACGGCCCCCGGAGGCGCCAAGTGCTCACTGCTCACTCCTTTTTCAGCGCCCCCGCTGCTCCCGCTGGCTGCCCTCCTCATGCTGCAAGGCTGCAGCACGCGAGCGTATAGTAGTACACTGGGAGGGCGGGAGCAAGGGAGGCGTGACGGGCCATGGGTAAAACAAACGGATGAGAAACAGCGGGGAGGAGGTGGAGAGAGGATGGGGGCGCCGAGAAATAAGGGGCGCAACCGGAACGAGGTCGGGAGAGTGTGGGCGCCGCCGCCAGGCTAGCGTTTGGCGTTGGGGAAGGGTTGGGGGAGGGAGAGGGGAGAGAGGCGAGCGGGAGGGAGAGGAGGACGGGCGGCGTGGGGCGCCCGCGCGTCGCGGCGCTGCTGGAGGCTGGAGTCCACCTTCTCCAAAGACTCCAGGCGCGGGGGGGTTCCACCCCCCCAGGGCTCCCGGCGGCCCCGCAGTTGACATCATTTCTCTGGGACAAACACACGGTGGGGGTGCGAAGCCCCGGGCGTAGAGAGACTGGGAGCTAATGGATACACACCGCGGGCGGGTTGCCTACGCGCTCGCTCGCTAAGGCCGCGGGGGAAGCAAGATGACACGCTGCACCCAGGCACCCCCGCGGGGCGGGGCCCACCCCTAGTCAGCCCGGTCCAACGTCCTCCAGGAAAACGTCCCATTCTGAGGGAAATAAATTAAGTGCGTGTCGTGTCGTAGCCTTACAGCAATGGCGGAGCCGGGGCCGTCGGGGGTGGCGACGGGGGGTGGTGGTCGCGGCGGGGAGAGGTGGGTGGGTGGGCAGCCTAGGGCCAGCCCTAGCCGCGCGTGTCCCGAGCCGCGTGTCAACAGGACCAGCAGCAGGGCCCCGCCTGGACCAGCCTAGCCTGGTCCAGCGGCGGCGCGTTACAGCACGTCCCCCCGCCCTGGGCCGCCTGCCAAATCCGGAGCCAAGCGCCGCCGCGAAACGCCACGCCACGCCGCGAAAAAAAAACTGTCAATCCCGTTTCCCGGCCCCCTCTTTCAGGCCGTTGTTTCTCCTTCTGGCCGCGTGACTACGTATCGCGCTGCCATAGACTCCAGCATTTATTTTCTCTCCGCAAATGCGACGCATAGTTATAAAACGTTCGCCCTGGCGCAAGACGCGCGGCGCGGGGGAGAAGTGTGAGCGAACCGCCGCCGTCGGCACATTCGTCGAGGCGGCGGGCTCCGTAGTATCATCTCCGCAAAAACACACAAACTCTGCGCTCTGCAAGTTTGCATGTGTATTCGACGCACTGTACGAGCGGCCGGGCCGCCTCTCACGGTGACAGAGCCACCTCTGTCTCGTCCCTCCCCTCCGCGTCCTCCAGTACCGGTGGCAGTGGCACCGTAACCCGCATTTCGCATTCCTCCACACGGACACAGGGGCAGTGTGTGTAATCTGTCACTGTCCTCCTCCCATGCGTTTTGCCTATCGTGCCTAGAGCAGGCGGCAGTGGTACTACAAAGTGCATTCCTCCAGGTACGACACCTAAAACAAGAAGTCGTCTTTGCGTGGTTTGTTTTCATCGCGGCGTCGAGTCATGTGCGCCGCACACGGGGGAGGGGCGTGGAGCGAGAGGAAACAGCGGAGGCCGCCGGGGCTTGTCTCTTATCTCGGTCGATTCATTATCGTCACCTTTGCGTGAGGTGTCGTTGGCGGGGCGGGGCCGGCGCCGCCGCGCGGCTATAGGTACACTTGGGTACACTCCCGTGTGTATTACACCGCATGCTGCACTCGCCCTTCTCATTGCTCATGTGGCCCAGCACCCGTCCTGCTCAAAGCCCTGCAATCGCCCAGCTCACGGCCCTGCAATCGCCCTACTCATTGCTCACGTCCCTGCGCCTTGAACTCGCCATGCTCACGCCCCTACGCCCTGCACTCGCCCTGCTCACGACCCTGCACCCACCCTGCTCACGGCCCTGCACTCGCCCAGCTCATTGCTCACGCCTCTACGCCCTGCACTCGCCCGCGCCACCTGCCAGGATACGGCCATTCAATATCGTGCTGCAGACAGCAGAGGCCCTGCCGAGGGGAAGGAGGGCCATCACGGAGGCACGACGGCTGTAGATCTCGGTTAGGACCGTTCGTGCCGAAAGAGCGGCCGGGGGAGCCCAGGGCTCAGGTGCCGAGCTGGTCGTAAAAACCGTAGACGGGCGGTAGGGCCGGGACCCCACCACCTGAGGGGCGCACCAGACACCCCTGGACCCGTTCTCAGCAAATGATCAGCTCGTGCGGAATGTGGAGGGATGTGATAATACTTTCACACCTCCACGGCCGAAATAAAATCGCAGAAAACAAGAAACGTATGGAATATGCTGGCGCTTGCTGTGTCACTTACCTTTCCATCTTGTCCAGGGTATTGGGGTGGTGCAGAATGGTCTGGTCACTGTCCATTTCGACGACACAGTCCGTCCCAAGTTCGAGTTCTGAGGACAAGATATTCGTATCACACCGTGAATCTGACACCTAACCAAAATATGAATTCAAGCATGCCAAAATAATAGTTTAGAAAAAATTATTGGTAGAATTAAAATTTAATTAGCACAAACAATAAATGAAAAATTGACACACAAGTGACTAAGCTGTTCTAAATTTACATTAGTAATATCACATAAATGTCAGCAATGATTTGCTGTCCTTCGGCATCCGAACAGGTGCACAGACAACTAATGACTTCTTTTATTTAAAAAGCTGATGTTTTGCATACAAAATTGCAATGAGACATTAAATTAAAGAAACACAATAAAATGAAAAGTGAGACTAAAAAATTTTAGGTCATAAATAATGGTCAATAGACATTCATAAATAGTTGAAGTTGTCAGTAAGAGATAGCTTTTTCTTTACTTACAACTGAAGTGACAAGTCACACATTACAAACTACACAATAAGTTAACCGTGGCATGACAATCCGAGCAAACTACAACAATTTTGTGTCTAAGGTCACTTGTTGCCATGAAAATTCTGCTGAAATAAACCATTTTACAATAAAATATTTCTCACCTCTTCTGTTAAATGGTCGAACCCTCACCGCTACTTTAATTTTATCCGTCGCCATGACTGCACTTTTACTGTGAAAGCTAAACAACAATTAAACTATATGCAATTGCATAATACAAATTGATTTAACACACTTCTCCGCCTTCAACCCATTATGAACCACGCGTAAATCATTATTTTCGAGGAACACGACACTCGCGACAACAGACGTCCACCATTTGCAATTCACTAAACATGACTGGGCTACGTCACAGAGTCTGTTCTAGTGTGGGTCTCTGTTTCACTGAGATGAGGAACCGGTCACTTTATGCCCGCCTTGTGTGGTGGAGCGAGGTTAGGCGAAGCACCGCGAGAGGGCAGCACGATGCAGGCTAGCGGCCTAGCGTCTTCTGGCGCGTCTTTTAAACTGACCAAACATGGAACCCCTCTGCAGCTGCAGCTCAACTCTTCGGCCTCTTTAAATATTAGTACTGCCGGCTTTAGTATCTTTTACGTAGTACGGCCCCAGGGGTAGGAAGGATATTTTTTCCATATTCATAAATATGTGGAGGGATGGATAATGAGTTTCCTCTGAAAGGCAATGTGAAAAGTAAGAAGTCATATTTGATGGAAGGAAACATAGCAAATGCCATGTCACGTTAAATTTATTTTTTTGTTTCTTGTCACCACATCAGTCAGCAGTTTAAGATACAATTTACATTGGTGAATTCCATGGTCTCATATGTATAGAGGGTGAAAAAGAATATTGGCACTCACAATTTCTCAAATGACATGAGATGATATTTAGACAAACATGTGAAGAGTGAATTAGATGTCAATAAATAAAACTAAATATATATAATACAGGAGAGAGAAAAACCTCACACCATCATAACTTGAGCCAAGTAACAGAAGCTCATCCAGCAAAATAACTTGTAATACTTCGAAACAGAAAGAGGATGTTTTAAACTCCTTCCTAAAACAGAAGATTTTTACAAAATTGGAAAAAAACTGAAATAAAAAGAATGACCATATATTAAGTTAACAAATAAAAATTTCTTAACAGTCTAACAAAACATAAGCAATAACTTTCCAGATAATGTCCTTTTCTGTATAAGAAGTATTACTTGCAACATTCAATATAATCAAGACCTCTCAAAGACATAGAAATGAAAGTACGTTTTGCACCATCACACTCACACTTCTGTCACAGACACGTACAACACTTACACAAACAGATTATTGAGATCTTACCTTTGGAAGGAATTTTTTTGTAGTTTCTACATGCTTTATATATTTTTTTTTGTACTTTATCACTTAAAAAAGGCAGATGCAACCTTTCCAAACAGCTCGAAGTGGTCCTCCAAGTATACAAGATTTCAAAAGTAAAGTCAAGTCACACCCTGCACTTAAGTCATACTAAGGCTTCAGGAACTTTCAAATGTCCCCATTCATCACAACAGCCAGAATGTCAGATCTCTGTAAAACTGGTCACAATAAGGCTAAGATTACACAGAAATCATTCACGGCAAAGAAGCCTATTAGGTGACCCATCTGGCCATATATAAACTTGACTAACATTGGTGGGCAATGAAAAATGAGGGTAACTTAACACAAGATGACTAGCGGTACACTGGCTGCATAATTTCAAAAGAACACTTTCTGTACAGTCTATAGTATGCAAGTAAACCCTCTGAAGTCATGACAGCACAAGAACTTGCTTAGTGAAATTATACAATGAGGATCTACATGCATACAATTAGAGCTGTAATGAGCTCTCCTCAATTAGAGTAAAGAGCAGTCCTAGAAATGATCACAAAATGCATATCTTATACTTAACTTAAATCTAATTATTTTTTTTAATACTCATATATTTTAACATTTATAATTTTTATTTGATTTTTATGCTGTGGTAACCTACTATAAAGAAGCTTTAACTGTGGAAAGATTAAGCAGCATGGACTGGTCCACATCTCAACATTTTAAAGGTATATTCCTCCACAGCCCACAGATGGTCAATAAGTAATTAAGATTTCAGTTCATTGTTCTCTATACAGTAATTGACTGACAGTGCAACATAAATAAGCTTACCTAGCTAATATTGTCCTGTTGAAGCACAGCTCCACCAGGAAAGTTATAGAAGCATTTTATGAAGACCTCTTCACTAAATTCTTTCAATGGTTAACACAATAAATGCTCTTGATAGGAAGAGTGTCCTGATAAAATGCAAATTTATCAAGTCTTTCAGCATAAAGATTGTAGATATGAAGAGCAGTATTTTTTCAACCTAACAAAAAAAAAACTGCCCAATGCATGTACAGTATTTTGTGCAGTCATTAGAATAAATAATCAGCTGTCAGCAGTTAAATAATAAAATTAAAAACAAAGAAAGGTTGATATGACTGTTACAGGTAGTAAAGAGGCAATCCACGGATGAAAAGCTGACAAGAGGAAAAGAACACAGAGGCCCACTTCCAATAAAAATAAAATGCAGGTCAGAGCCTTGACAGCTTTCATTGATAAGACTTAATTTTAAACCAACGCATGTCTTCAACGCCATCCTGCAGCATGTGTGCACCTTCCTTTTGATTACAGGATTCCTCCTTTTCTGATTCTGAGCTTTCTTCTGAGCTCACACTGCCTGACCTGAAAACAACAAGAAACATGAGCATCCACAAAGAACCAAAATCATAAACAAAATAAATCTTGGAAATTGATTGGGACAAAATTTTACCTTTGTCGAGATTCTGAGACAGCAAATTGCTTGTGCTCTTCGATAGTGGGCAACTGAGCGGCAAGGCGGTCAATTGGACGAAGTAGGCGTCTTGTACGATGGGACAACTTCCACACAAGACGTTGTCGATGTGGCATCTGAGACTGAGCATTGTACTTAGTCATCACATCATTTACAGCTTCCAAGCATATAGAGAAAGATGCTGCTGATATCTGGAAAGTGAAATAATAATGTGAAATTTGATGTGCAAACAGCTTGTTTAATTTTAGTTAAGGAGTATTAATATTGAAGTAGAGAAGGAAGTGAGTCAAAAATATACCTGCGATATCTTTTGAAGACAGACAGCAAACGAAATGAGCTGCACTAGCTGAGCACAAAGAGCAGGATCATCCTGAGAACCAATGGCCTCAACTCCGGCTTGCAGTTGCGAGCAGAGAAGAACAAGAGCAATGACACTTGGCCTGAATGTTGAGCACTTGGAATCACACACAACAATTTCCAGTCTTTGCCAAATATCAGGGCCCTGTGCCCCTGCAGAAAGGGTCTTTTGGAAGAGTACTCCAAGTTCTGTGGACAAACAATTAATCATTAGTTAATTTAACTTGAAAAGATGGAGGGATGAGTTAATCCAATTAAACATGACAATATTGCTCACCAGAAGAAATAAAGAGTGAGTGATAAAGTCGCAAGAAACTGAGAGGAGTTGTAGGTAAGCCACATGCTGACACCCTGTTGACATCAAGCTTTAGTGCAATGATGCTCTCCATTCGTTGCAGATCTCCTGAGGTGCATTTTGATTGAGAAATGAGGGCCAAGTCTTTCAGGTCTGTCTCTGGGCAACCTCCATGAAGTGCAACTTGCTGGACGGCAAGGGAAAAGCTGCTTACAGACACACATGCCATATGTCTGGCTTGAACCTAAGAGTCAAAATAAAAGATTAATTCAGGACATTCAAAGAGATGTGCAATAACATGAATAACAAAAAGTTACAACTTACCTTCATTTTTGATAAGAATCTATCCATATAGTTGATGGCAACAAAGAGAACATCAGAAGGCAAATCGTACCAAACCTTGAGGCAGCGCAGGACATGAGCAGATCCATCACGAATACCATCAGTGATGAGATTTTTGTCCTGAAAAAGTTAAAACATTTGAGTTAGATACAAAAATGAAAATTTTGCATTGTCTGAGATGTTAATAATAATATAAGGCTTACATTTCCTGAACTGGGGAGTTCCAGGTTGGTAACAAATGTGTCTTCCATGGCAATGGCCTCTTCAAGTTGTTTAAGAGCAGGCAGCATAGCGTCAGACAGATTTTGCTCCATAGTGATATTAAGTGATTCAACCAGTTGTGTGAAATCTTGTGTCTGAGCTAAGTAGCTGTCAGGCTGGACAAGGTCCATTCTTGAGATGTCACCCTCAGTAACAACTCCCGTTACACCGCAAGAATGGGCCAAGCAGGGGCCTCTGACCTAAAACAGAAAAAAATAAAATAAAATTAGTACAAACACAATAGAAAAATTCGTTCCAGATGAAACAAAGTCATGGAACCAACTAAATTTCAATGTTATTTGGTTTAAGCAACAGCAGAGGAAGGAAAGAACAAAAAAAATCTACCATAAGTCACCAAAAAGAGCGGGAAATTATTGAGAAGGCCAACTTCCAAGTAACACAGAGAAAATACAAACTTAAGTTAAAGAGAAACTATGTTTCTGCTCACTTAGAAAATAAGATATGAAGTAGTTCATACTTGTTAAGAGAGACTAGGCATAAACAATTTATTGGTAAAAGTTTGAGATTTCAGAAGCAAAAGACTGAATACAAACTTAACAGTGAATAAAACTAAAAAATGAACATACCAAGTACATTTGAGTTCAATAAGCCCCCATGGTGACACACTAATTTATCATGATAATAGAAGTCTAGTCAGTCTGAATCTTAAGTTTGAACCGTCCGATTCCGATGGCGTCAGCTGATACTAAAATTTCTAACGGCTTTCACAGACCCTACGCGGGCGCGCGAAAAAGTAGATCCCGTTGCCGGCCGAATTACGAGACTAGTTTCAGATGATTATCATACATCTAAAATATTTGAATTAACATACTAACTCTGCTTGTAAAATCTATTTTTCTTTCAATATAATAATAGTACCAAGTATACAACGTAAAAGTAACAATGATGTCATTCATACGGGATCTAAGGGCACAAGGGGATGATCAGGATGAGGATGACACTAGTAGTCGATTCAAGAAACAAAGCAAAGACCGTGAAAAAAGCGAAAAGTTGAGACTGTGGACACAAGATTTCTTTTTCTAACAGATGCAAGATAAGTGGATGAAAGTATTACTATTTATTCAAAACTATCCATCACGTATAGGTGTCAAATGACAGTAGACCCATCTTCTAGCAATTTCTCGGTACTACGACGAAATAAAATTACAGATTTAATTCCGGAAAACAAATATCAGTAACGCATGTCGCAGGAATGCAGATAAAACTTCTACTGGGAAGTGCTGAGTAATATGAGGGAAGATTAGGGAATTTTAGGCCAAGGGTCTGACGCAATAGGCAACGAATGACCCGCCGGAATACCATTGAATTAACAGCGGGAATATCAATATAAGAAGACTACAATCTGTTTTTCAACGATCAGATGCATGAGAGATAATGCGCACATGCATCGGTGCAATGAAAATGTCACGAAAGTCTTCCTTGGCTAAGGATGAGGCAAGAACATCCAAAGGAGAGAGTGGGAGGAGAGGCCCACTTCCCCCGATACACAAATAACGCAGAACAATTTCGTTTCTACCGATTCTGCCAGAAAATTCCGAAAGCAGGACACAGTACTTTAGTACTTACTCTAGTTATGGATTTAATGGAGGAAGGCGAAAGGGAACCATGTCTAACACAGCGACAGGTGCTCCATGGTGATGCTCTTAGAACGGTGTTTGAGTGACTACTGAACTGGCGACTCAGAGTACATAAACAATGACCAAACACCGCGGATGCCTACAGTCCACCGTGGAACCTAGGACTACTTTTCAGCTTCGAATCCAAAACTGCCAACCTATGAAAGCAAATACGTTGCCGCAAACCTCGTACATTTTACAGATTTTTGAGACATAAAGTAAATATTCATCTGAAACACCAAATTAAAACAACAAAACTTCTAATTTTGTAGTCAAAAAATCTACTAATACGGTATTTGTGTGAACTATTTTGTTCTCTCAGTTTGCTGCTGTGAAAAGTTTGTTCCCCCTCCACCTTTCAGACGACGGACGGACGACGGGTTGTGTTTTCACGAACAAGTGTTTTAGGGACCGAAAAATGTCATTCGGAAATCATGATCTCAAAGAATTAATTCAAGTTTACATGTAATATAAAACGTAATGAAGCTCAATTAGACTAAGTACTTCAATTTTAGAAGGCTGACTTACACGACGCAGGGCAGAATGTCTCATCGAAAAGACATCAAACCAAGATTTGGAGGTTAGTACCGTACACGCATCCACAACCAGTACATTTTAATCTGTGTACGATGTACATATTTTACACAAATGTGTTGGTGCATCAGGACGGTGTCTCGAAGAATGATTTTCTTTCAGTAGATTAGTCACTAGTTCACAACTTTCAACCTTAAATATAATTGGGAAAGTTCCATTTGCCATTTCACATTACTTTCCGTATCAGTACACTTAACTATTTAAAGTTCAGATTTTACAAAATGGTACATGAAAAGAAAATCATTAAGCGAGATTGAAATACCAGTGGCAATCGTGATAGTTAAGATGGTTTTAGATTTGACAAATGCCTTTGCGGTTAAAGATCGAGGCTCGTTTGCTCTTTCCTCTCCGACCAAAACCTAATTCTTATTACTTGTCAAGGTGCTTGGTCGAGCTTGACTCTGCTGCATTGCTTCAGCCTTACTGTCTGTGTGTAATATTACGTGACTCACCTCTCCTATTAAACACATATTCCGTTTTGGTGCTGCACAACTTGTTGAGTGTCGTAAAGTTGTAGCGGAGTAAAATCCACTGATGCACAGGTTTGCTGGTGCTGACTGACTCACTGAAATTACTTTCCTCTAAATTTGTGAGCGACCGTCACTGTGAGAAGTCTGTTCGCGCGTGTACTTGACTGCACTCTGCGGACCTTCAGGTTGAGCTTCACTACATAACGTTCGCCGGGCCCGGGCCGCATGGCTCCGTGCCCCGTGGCCCCGGGGAGGGGGAGAGGGGAGGGGACGGAGAGGGGGGAGGAGGACAAGTTGAGACTTGCTCCCGGCATGAGCCGGCCATCTCCCCATCGAGCAGGAATAGACATGCGCGAGCGCGCGCCGGCCGGCGGGGGCCTGTCGCTGGGCGCGGGCATTCTCCTCTGCTCGAGAACCTTGTGGAAGTGAAAGAATGCGTGGGGCGGGGCGGGGCAGGGGGCCAGGGCGTGTTGAGGAGGGTCCGGGGTGCGGTGCCGCAGGCAGGGTGCGGCTGTGGCTGCGGCGGTTGGCGCCTGCTGCCTGCAGCCTGCCCGCCGAGGGGAGAACATCTGCACAGAGATATGCAGCATCTGCAGCTGCAGCGGAAGCGCATGCTGCGCTGGCGGAAGGACACTGTGCTCAGCGCGTGGTCCGCGCCCGCGCTCCCGCGTGTCGACGTCGGCCGTGAGCATGAGTGCCGCCGCGGGTCGGGCGCGGGATGACATCGGCCGGGCCCGGCCTCGAGGGAGGAGGTGTCGCCACACGTCACGGGGCTCAAGTGCAACCCGTCAAGGGCGGCGGGGGGCGGCTAGGCTGCGCAGCGGAGGCACGCCACCCCACCCCGCTCCTCCCTGGGGCCCCGCCCCCGCCCTCGCGGCGGCCGTGTAGAGTTGACCGCGAAGCGGCCTGGCGCCAGCGCATCTAGCCTCGCCGTGCAGCGTGACGTACTAAGGGAGGGAGAGTAGGGGGGCAATGTCGGGCAATGCTCCGTGCGCAGAGGAGGAGGACTTCATAGACGGCTCAAGAGCACCAGACAGAGCGTCACTCGCGCGCGTGCAGGTGGGGCGTTGCTGTCGGCCACGCACCGCAGCCCCGTGCGAGTAGGCAACTTAGAGGCACCCATGCATTGCATTGTGCGGCTATGGCCGCCCGGCCCCTGCCCGGGTTAGGGTTAGGGTAACTCAGGATACCGAAATGTGTCCTGACCGTTATAATGCAAGTACCCGATTGAAGAAAAGCACTCGGAGTGTCTTTAAACGTCTAAATTGCCCTGATTCCTGAGTTTTAATCAGCAAAGTACGCGAAATGAAAGGGTTCACATATTTCGTGTGCCCCTTTTCACGCCACTACGTTGCCATACCCAGGGAAGCATATTCTTGATTCTTCCATGTTTTTGGCTGAATTTAAAAAGATTGTTCTTGTTTTGAGAAAATTGTGCTTAAAATTAAACAAGTACAATTCCTCGTACAATTCTCTCAAAATAAAGTACAATGTTCTTAGGTTCAGCAAGAACATAGAGAAACCAAGAACATGCTTCCCGCCTGGGTGCATTTCACATCTCTACGTTCGCCTTATCTGATGTGGTCTATTGGACTAGTTTGATCGAGTATCCGACTCGCCACGTCCTGTCGCCGTGATCCGGTCGTGGACATTGACCCTTCGCCCGGCCGGAAGATCCCCGTTTGCCGATTCGCCGATTCTCATGGCGAGCAATCTTTATTTCCTCGTCAGCAGAAACATCGGGTTGCCTGGGGAGATACAGAAAAGGAGGCTCGCCTTCCTTTTTTCACCCTTTTTATTATTTTTATTCCTGCCCCATTAGCAAATCACGTCCGATTGTGTCGTTCCTCGTCGACACTCTTTTTCCTTGACGGCGCAAACAATACACAGCACATTTAATTTTTGTTTGTGAATGCTGATTTGGGGTCGGTTTCACCTTGGCCCAAACTCTGCCTCTCGCTATCGTGTGCGCGGGCCGTTTTGCAAGATTTGCGCGCCTTATCTGCGTATTAGCTTGCCTGCGCAGCGTGCAGGCCGGGCCCTTCCCCACCTGTGTGACGCTTTTGACGACACATGTTTGACTCCTCTCGCCCCGGCCCCCTTTCCCATTTCTTGGTATTTTCTTTTGTATTTTTTTGTATTTTTTAAGGGGCATTGGGGAGGGGGGTCCCTTCCCGCCTTAAATTTAAATGTCAAAGCTCTTTCACAAATACAGGCCAGTCTTTACGTCACCCGCGTGCCTGGGCGAGGCGAAGGCTCTGGGTCAGCCGAGGGCGCCTTGGGCCCCCGGCGGGGTCCTCTTTTATTTAGATGGGGAAAGAGCAGCAGACGGTGGGGCGGGGCGCGGAGGGGCGGGGGGCGGCACCCGATCGCCTCGGCGCGGCGGCTCGATCGGCAGCAGGGACATTCCGGGCGTGTCGTAGACAACCACTTGTTGCACCTCCCTGGGCTCCCTTTATAGCCCCCCTCCCCCCACAATCGGGCGACAAAGCGTTTTGGCCCTGAGAAACGAATTCTCGAAACTTCAGGAACAGGCTGCATTTCCAAGTGCATTTTGGGATTGGTCCTACTTTTAGGCCACATCCAGAGGTTAGAAGGTTGGGTTGGGCGATGGCTATGGGGTGCGACCGACTAGACCTCCAGTCTAGACCAGAGAGAACCACTATCGGCGCCTCGTTCTCTGATAAGGGGGCAAGAGGGAGGTGAAGGAGGAGGAGGGGGTTCACGGTTGAGGAAAAGCCACACCGTGTTACACTATGTGACCAGCTGAAACTCGAGAAATGTGGCTCGACCGCCGAGGATCCGTTTGGTCGCGGCTGGGGACTGCCTTTCCCTCCTCTCTCGCCACCGCGGCCGACCCGCCTCACCTCGGGTCCGCGGTCCGAGTCCGCGCAGAACCCTGCCGCGGATCGTTTCGACATTCCCGCGTGTTTCTTGGCAGCTCCTCGCCTGTTCGGAGGCTGCACCGCGGCCAGCCCATAGCCCATCCACATTTACCGGATTCTTATTTTTCAAGATATTTTTGCTTTCGCGCCCTGATTTGGCGCGTAAAGCCTTGCGCCATGCTGCCATGCACACTTGAACATTGCGTCCCAATGAAAGGATGAAACCTCTCTGAGGTTTCAAGAACATTCCCGGAAGTGCTTCCTTCACAATTCGAGGAGCGCCTTCCCAAATTATGAGGATATATATACTTCGTCCATTTTTAAGGCGAGCGCCAGGTGTTAAATTTATACCGCCATACGAAGTAAAATTTTAAATTAATCATGTGTTAAAGTTTTTTTTCTTCTTTTTTTATTTGTTTTCGTCGAATCGGGCTACAGTTGCACGTTGCACGGCGGGCTCCACGTCGTCGTGATCCTCGACTCGAAGTGCGCGCGGTGTCTCACAGCGGGGACGGAACCAGCAGGCGGGGCCCCCCCAACTCGGTCCGAAGGCTGACGTGCCTCGAGTTAATGGCTTCGAAGGACAATTTGTGGAGCTCTGTGTGTGGGGCGCCCCCCACCCCTGTAGTGGCGGGCTGGGCCGGGCCGGGCGGGGCGGTCCGCGACCGGGCGCCACACCAGCACGGCGCCGCCCGCGCGCGCCGCGCTACCGTCCTCGGGGGCGCGGTCCCATAATGTATGTATAGTGATCGCGGTGATCGCTTGCTCGCACAAACAACATTTTCAAGTTGGTTGAGCGCGCGCGGGGCCAAATTTTTGTCATTTCCCGGCCGTCTTTCGCATAAGTTTGCAATTTACCTTTGTGCTACTACTCAGTCAGCCATGCAGTTTTCGAAAAATCAAAAACAAACTTGTGCACGGTTTCTGTGATTGTACAGATTTGTGTATGTCTAATGACTCTTATGCTGATGCTTATTCGGAAAATGTGTGAAACACACCCAATACCCCAAAAATGTAAAAAGTAATAATAATCAGGTTTTTATAGAAATTTGAACCCTCAGACTTGAAATTTCGTGTGGAGTTAATTAACAGCTCTGTATTATGGTCATGATTATGACGAATTGCCTAATTTTACGGTTAAGATGAAGTTTTGACAGTGCCTGAGCGCCCGGTGCGCGCCGGGGTCAGCGCCCGGTTCATAAGCGGCCATGGCAGTCGACGCCGCGGGCGGAATTGGGTCACTGCGGCTCGGGGCTGAAAATAAAGGGAGACACACTTGATAAGAGAGGGCGTGCGAGAGAGTACACCGCACCATAAAAAAGTGTGTATTTGATATTAGCAGTGCATTGCACTTGATTATTCGTGTGCTTGATTCATTTCAGGACAATGCCCTATTTATGACAGTTTTTACTTGCGTTACAATCCCAATTCTCTCAAAACAAGCATATTGGCCTTCATTAAATCAACACTGAAAAAAATGATTTGGCCGTCAGAACAAAATATTAGTTAATTTCTGGACAATCGATCAAAAATAAATTGTTGAGATAACTGATAAGAATTGACAAAATTGGGCAGCTTGGCCACAATGGTTGTCACTACATATATATCACTGTGAAAATAATGTCTGGTATTTTCGGGTGATTTTGTGCACTCTAAAGCTTTAATTTTCCTCCGAAGTGGCCCACAAACCGACTGCATACCGTGTAGGACAGGACCGGGAGAGTGAGGAGGATGATGACGAGGGCTGCCGTCATGCTCGGTATGGGGGTCAAGGCGGCGGTGGGGCTCTGCTGCGCGCCCTTAGCCTACCCCCCGGCTGACGGATGAGACCATCGCATCGCGGTAGTGTGTGTGTCGGCAATCACACGCAAGGCGCGCAAGGGCCCCTCAGCCCCGCGGCCAGCAGCTGCTATTTCAGGTCGCGGGGCCGCGGGGGCGTGGCCGTGGTGGGCGCGGCCCTTGGCTTGTAAACACCACACACACGACGACTCTCGGGGGTCGGGGGGACTCCTGGACGCGGGCCGGACGCGGGCCGCTCACGGCGCGGCGAAAGTGAAGCGCAGCAGAGTGCGCCGGTGAATAACCCGCTCTCCTCTCCGCATTGTCACGATGGGCTTCCCGCTCCGGCGAGCGAGCGAGTGTGACGTCAGCCCGCGTCGGCCCCGGCGCGCCCCGCCCGGAACAGACTTTCATGCTGATCTCGTCGGTCCCGGCCCCGGCCGTCCGTGACTCAGAAGTGTCTGTCTGTCACAGCGCAGC